CCGCCCCGCCGCCCTCCTAAAGCCGGAGGCTGCCGCAGGCTTCTTGGAGCTCTGCTGGGCCCACGTGAAAACCTCTTTCCTTAAATCTACAAAGCTTGAAGTCTTCTTTTCATTAACGAAACAAATACTTGCACACAAATGTTCACAGCACCATTATTCAAATAGCCAAAGTCTAAATGTCCACAGGCAGATGAGTAGATGGAGGAAATGTGGAGTACCCATGCGGGGGACACTCCTTGGCTGTGAACAGGAGTGAGGTCCTGAGACATGCTACAGCGTGGATGAATCTTGAAAGCATTAGACTGAATGAAAGAAGCCAGTTAGAAAAAGCCACATACTGTATGATTCCATTTACACGAACCGTCCACAATTGGCATATCCATAGAAACAGAAAGCGAACTGGTGGTTGCCAGGGGCTGGGGGAGAGAAAATGGAGAGTGACTGCTAGTGGGTATGGGGTTTTACTTTGGGGTGATGGAAGTCTTTTGTAACCAGACAGAGGTGGTAGCTGCGCAGCACTGTGAATGTACTCAATTGCCACTGAACTGTTCACTCTGAAATAGTTCATTGCATTTACGTGAATTTCATGTCAATAAATTATCTTAGAAAACAATCAACAAAAAACCCCTTAAGTCGGATCATGTCACCCCTGGGCTCAAAATCGTCTACCAGTTTCCCAACCGACTCGGAGAAAAGGCGAGAGTCCCGCGTGGGCCCTCGATGATCTGAGAGCCCTTCGGTCCCTTCACGCATCTAAAGCCGTGGGACCCCCGAAACATCCTGAGCCATAGGTGGCCCTGAAGATGGGATGGGATCAAAATCGACCCTTTTAAGCTATAGTTATCCTTTCTTTGTAAAGTTCACAAACATTTCTACGGTCCCTGCAGTGCCTCTTTTAAGTTGTTTAGAGACCTTAAGCCAGTCACCGCCTTCCTGGTTGCAGTAAAATACCACCTTAACTGTTGCCCCTTAACCCAATAGCCCTGTCCACTTTACACCACACCTTCCCGCAGCCACTGTGACCTGCTGGTAAGCCACGTGGTTCCACTCGTGCGTAGGAGCCTATCAGCTTCCGTTTCCTTTAACCCATCTCCTCTGCCGATCCCCTCGCGTTTCACCTGAAGGACGTGTGGCACGCGTGCTTTCCTGTCTGGTGTGCGGCACAGCGTCAGGGGCTCCAGAAAGTCCCTCGACCTTTTCCACTTACCTTTACGGGTAGGGGCTGAAGTTTCGCACGGCTGTAAGGAACTGCCTGGCCAGCAAACGGGTGTCCATGGATGGAGTTGACACCAACGCCAGAGGGCTCTGGGTGCGGGGGGCTGGTCTGGGCGCAGCTGCTGCAGCCACTGTCCACTGAGTCAGCCTGCCAACTCCTAAAAGCGGACATTGCGAAAGCCCACAAAATGCTCAACCAAACGGACGGGTTCATTGCTGCATTCAGAGCACAGTAGCGGAGATGCCCAATATTTGCTTCCACCGAGATAGCTGCTTTTCTCTCAAAAGTGCACTTACGTTTTCTAGGGAAGACAATGCTACAAGGCCTTTCTTTAAGTGGGTCGGTCTGTCTTCATCACCTAATTGTAGCCACTGAAGATGCCAGATTCCTGACCCCCTCCCCGAACCTCTCCCAGCCTCCCCGCCTCCCCAGCTTCCTGCTGGGCCCTGAATACAATATCCTCCCCCTTGGCCATGCAAGTCCCGACCCTAAAAGAAATTCCTCTTCCAAATAAATTTAGGGAAAGCTATAGGAAGAAGCAGGAAGCTTTGGAAATATGATGCTCTTCGTGGAAAAACATAAAGCAATATGAAAGTGCCTCTGGAAAGGATCAGATCACTTGCTGGCCAGCTGACTTATTCGTTCGTGTATGGCAGGCAGGTCTGGACCAAGTCAAGGGTTCACCAACATTCTGCTTCAGGTAAAACGGAAAGGGACATTGCACAGTTCCATTTAGATGAAATGCCCAGATTAGGCAAATCCAGAGACAACGAGATTAGTGGTTGCCAGGGGCCGAAGGAAGGAGGGATGGGAGTGACTGCTAATGGGTGTGGGGTTTCTTTTTGGCTTGATGAAAAATGATTGTGATGGTGGTGGCACAACTCTGTGACTACACTAAAAAGCACTGCGCTGTCCGCTTCACATGGCTGAATGATGTGGCAGGTAGACTGTATCTCAGTGAAGCTGTTAAAACAATTTAAAGGGAACTGATTGTGTTAGATCCTGGCAGAGTGGAGTCATTCAGTAGTCCCACTCTTTAAAAAAAAAATTCCAGAAGCGAACAAGGTGAAAAGCCTACATGGACAGCAGAGGGACAGAGGTCAAAGCACCGCCCTTGTCCAGATCAGCATTCGGTTCCCCGTGAGAATCCCGACTTCTCTGAAGAATCACCCAGCACGTTCTACGGAGGCATGGATGAGAAAAGCAACTTGCACCTAGGGATGCAGCTCCCCCACAAGTCAGGGCTGACTAACACGGCAGCTACCTTGTCCCCAACAAAATGTGCGCCATCTCCTTGGCAGTTCCAAGGAGCCTTACCGCTCAGACACAGCCTCGGCCTGCTCCTCCTTCCGCTCCATCTCCAGGATCTCCTCCTCCGTGTACTCCAGCTTCACCCGCTCCTCGGCCAGCTCTCTTTCCACTGCCTGCAGCTGGGCTGTCGTTCTAGCCAGCAGCACTGTCACGGCGTCCTGCGAGACATAAGGGACATTTCTGAGAACCGGCTCAGATCAACAGCTTCTGGAAGCAAAGCAGGGAGCAGGCATAGGCCCACCCCACAGTGAAGTCCCTTCCTCCATGCTGGTGGCCGTCCTAGCAGCTCTTCCATGGGCGGTCCACCCTACTGCTAACGGCAAGACAGGACCTGGGGCCTTTCCATGAGCTCTGAGGGCTCAAATCTACAAACAGTGACCACGAACACGTTCGCATTAAAATCCACTATCGCGAATGACCATGCTCATTTCATTTTCATTATTTCCCTCGAAACTTTGCTTCTTCACCCTATGTTCTAAGACTAAGTCTACACAGGTGGTTCTCAGAGATGACCTCCCCCAGTAAAAGCTGGTCCCAAGGCCAAGGTAGCAGGAACCAGCTGCTCTGTAGGCCAGGCACACGCACCGTCTTCCTGGAGGCAACAGCAGCAGCAGCAGAGGTGGTGGCAGCGGAGGCGACGGCAGCGGAGGCGACGGCAGCGGAGGCGACGGCAGTGGAGGCGGCGGCAGCGGCAGTGACCACAGCGGTGGCAGTGGTATGTGGAGGGTCCCGGGCACCGCTTTCCCTGGCCCGTTCCCTCTCCCTTGCCCTGGGCAGCTCGGGGCTGGTGAACACCTGGACTGAGTACCAGCGCAGCTGCATTTCACTCAGCCCGTCACAGCTGGCCAAGTTAATTTGAGCAATGCCCTGCACAGGTGTTCAAAAACAAAGGCAGAAGAGGCGCTGAGTGATTTCACCTTAACGACCAACAGGAGTCTTCTGAAACATCAAGGTCACCCCTCCATTTTAACCAGAAAAGAGGTACAATGTCTCCTGGCTATTCAAAGGGCCGCAGTAACAGGAAAGCGCTCACAGAGGGTCCTAACGGGGCGGCTCCTCCATTGCTTGTTCGGTACATGCGGAACGTGCCAGAAAGGGGGCGGGGCAGAGAACGGACAACCCGGGGTGATGGGCTGGGCTCGGGGGTCTGCCACTTGAGGAGCCGCTGATGCTCTCGGGAGTTTTTGAAATCAGAGAGGCCCGGCTGAACTCTACAGTCTGCAGTTCTGCTGCTGAGGGGACGGGACCAAGGGGCAAAATGCCAACCTTGGGAAGAAACCGGCCCGGCTTCCAAGCCCAGGCCGGCCCGTGGATGGCCACGGTCCTGAAGACGAACCGCTGACTGACCTGGATCCAGGGTTGCCAGGTAAAATACAGGGCACCCAGGTAAATCGGAATTTCAAATAAACAAGGGGTCTTTCAAAAGTATAAGTACGTCCGTAATTTATCTGAAATTCAAATTTAACTGACCATCTGATATTTTTATTTGCCAAATTCATCAACCTTACTTAGTTCCTTCGACTGAAAATGGGAGTAATTTAGAAGCTGTGGCACAGGACTTTTGCAAGTATTATTTGATATAATATATTTAAGGTACAAAACGCATAACAAGATAACTGGTTTTATCATCCCTTTCTGTATTCCCAGTTACAGAGGCCACTTAACATGACGATTTCTAAGCAACGCCCCCCCCCGCCCCCCGCCACAGGAAAAAGGAAAGGGGAAAGAGGGAAGGAGAGAGAAAGGAAAGGAGGGAGGGAGACAGAGCCAAAGAAAGCAGAGAAAGAAAGGCAGAAAGACAAAGAAAAGAAGATAAACAAAGACTAAGAAAGAAAATGACAAAAAATGGAGGGATGAAGAAAAAGACAGAGAAGGGAGGGAGAGAGACAAAGAAAGACTGATGGAAACAAAAAGAAAGGAAGGAGAGAGGCGGGGAAGGGGAGGAGGA